GGTCACGGCCAAGGCCGCAACTCCTACAAGCGACTTGCTGAAGGGACGAACGATCGCCTTGAAGGATAATATCGCCCTCGCTGGAGTTCCATGCACAAACGGGACGTCGATGGTAGAGTGGACGCCGAAAGTTGATGCTACCGTTGCGACCCGCGTCATGGACGCTGGCGGCATCATCGTCGGTAAGGCCGGTAAGTAGATTCCTATCATACTAGACTAGATTCATTCTTGTTTTGGCTCTTCCTGCTGACACCGTATCCGATGCCGCCAGCGTGTGAAAACGCCTGCTTCGAAGGGCTATCGGCAACCTCCATTACTGGCTACGTTCACAATCCCTGGGCAAAGGGATACAGCGCTGGAGGTTCCAGCAGCGGCTCCGGTCGCCTCGTCGGAAATGGTGCTGTGGACATGTCCATCGGCTGCGACCAGGCCGGTAGCATCAGGATTCCCGCGGCTTCGTGTGGAATCGTCGGGTTGAAGCCGACATGGGGGTTGGTGCCGTACACCGGCATCATCAATCTAGATGCAGCGATTGACCACGTAGGGCCCATGACGCGCACGGTGAGGGACTGCGCCCTGCTTCTGGAGGTCATCGCCGGCCCGGACGGATGGGATGACCGCCAGGCTTTGCTAGAGCGCTATGGCGAAAAACACAAGTTTGTTGCTTCTGTCGACGAGATCGTGTCGAAGCCTCAGAGCAAAATGTTGGCCGGGCTCAAGGTCGGTGTCCTGCAAGAAGGTTTTGAGATCGATGGCCAGGACGAGAACGTAGTTGACTGCGTCCGGGCTGCCGTGGGCAAGTTCGAAGCCCTCGGCGCCAGCGTGACTCCTGTCTCGATCCCCGAACACAAGCTGGCCTCCCTTGTGTGGATGGCCTCCAGCGGGATCCCTGGTGGACGCCAAGCCCTCTTAGGTGGTATGGAAGGGAGAAAGCAGCTTTATATGACGGATCGGCTGGCCTTGGTTGGTCCCCATCTTACCCAACAGCAGTTCGACTCTCTAAGCCCTGGTGCAGCCAACTTATATCTCAACCACCTCTGGCTCTCGGAAAAGCACGGATTGTCGCATCAGGGGAAATGTATGAACCTCCAGAAGTATATCAGTGTATGTCGCTCTCTTCTTACCCCTCAACCCCACGTCGTCAACTTGTGTTCACATTCGCATCATTGTAGGACGCCTATGATAAGGCGCTCAAAGAATACGACGTCCTAGTCATGCCTACACTGCCCTATCCGGCCCCAAAGCTCCCTGAAGATGGCTACAAAGAGGGCTTACTTAAATTTGCAATGAGGACAACGGGTTTGATCGCCAATACGTCGCCATTCGACAGTGAGTGCTTCTGTTTTTCAAGTCAATGTGTGCTTGCTAACAGATGGCCGATAGATTCTGGCCATCCTGCTCTTTCGATTCCTGTTGGCTTTGTGCCTGCTAGAGAAGATGCGACTATCAAGCTTCCCGTTGGCATGCAGCTGGTCGGCAGCAAATATGAGGACCTGGATTGTCTCAAGTTTGCAGCCGCCTGGGAGAAGGCTTACGATTGGAAGACCTTCCGCAGCTAGATGAGATGGTAAGGTTGTAGTCTTTGGCATGATAAAAATTGGGATACCGAAATTCTTTGTTGGACTCACAAGAAAACATCTTTTGCCACATCTAAATCAATCTAGAGAGTCTGGGGGAGGCACATGGTCTAAATTGGTGAGAGAGAAACCTCTTTAAGGATAAGACTAAGTACAATTTGTCCCTTCAATAGATAGTATAGATAGTGTCAGCTGTCTTTTACAAGGCTCAAACACGTTGTTGTGATAGAGCAAAAATCTCCTTCAGTAGTGCTCCTAATAGATTCCCAGTTGCTAAATATCGAATGTAATGCCTTCACATAGGAATAAATATATATATAAAAAATGATAACCTCAAGTAGATATTCATTATCACTTAGGTGCCCAACGTATTTCTTCTAATAATTTTGCCATGTGAATCAAGGCCTAAGCTTCAGCAAATAATTCGTTGGGTACGACAATAGGAGTAACAGATGCTTTACGTTCTACAGGGCTGTAAGAATACATCTTATATTTTATGCTAATACTTAATTTTCACAGAGATATTTATATAATAGGGTTCCACCTTTCGACTGATTGCAAATGTTTCCTTCTCTTAGCATGGACTCCACGACATCGAGCTGAAATAATCCAATGGCCAAGTTCAAACTTCCTCTCCACCAGCTTTGCCTACCGGAAGGTAGCTAGTTCTGGTGAGTCCCAGCTATAGATTCATCAATAAAAATGCGCATATTCTGGATTCCGATTCCACATACCTCAGAAATTTCCCACTGAGCCCCTTGGTCGGCTCGACAGCCAGCTTTGCTATGACAGATCCTGGCTGCTCGGGTTTCAGGAGCCCACCAGTTTTGAACACGGCAACAAAGTTTTCGTGTTCTGCCCGGTACATACTAGCCTTGCCCTGGTCGCGGATAGTAGCTTGCATATCTGTGTCGACAATACCAGGATTGATGGCAATACTGCAGACACCCGGCTCCTCCACCGCATAGTGAGCCAGGATGGCGTTGACGGCGGCCTTTGACGAAGCGTAAGTACCCCATGCAGCAAGTGACATATTTGCAGCACCAGATGATACCCAAACAAGTGAGCCCTTGGTGTTTCTCAACTCATCCAGTGCAGCATTTATCTGGGTGTTTGTTAGCCTCGACTTGTGACACGGCAATATAATATTGTTTGTACCAGAGAAATACCGCTAAAAACATTCACATCGAACACTCTCTTAATTTCCTCCAAGGAGGCACTGCCTAGCTTATTGATTTGCAGGAGACTGTGGTTGATAACCAGTCCGTTGAGCTTGCCAAACGATTTGACGGCAAGCTCAACAAGCTTCTCTGCCATCTGTTGATTGTCAGCTTGCGTGTTGACGATTTGACAATGTTACCGATGAGACTCACACTGGGATCCGTAATATCGCCTGCAAGATACTCAACTTGACCTGGGTGAGACTTCTTCAGCGCCTGTAGCGGTGCCTCGGAGCGAGCCGTGACAACGACTTTATGAGACTGGCCCAAAAGCCACGCCACGATGGCCGCCCCGATACCCTTGCTCGCGCCTGTGACAATGACGACCTTGGATGTCATGACTACTCGGTAAAGCTTGTTACTTCTAAGTGATGAGTGGTATAGTGCTTGGAATGTAAGGGACTTTGAGGAGCTAAGGAACCAGCCAAGGTGATATTAAACAACCTGTGGGCTTCTTCAACTTTAGCACAGCGCGTCACAGTAATGAAGTACAACTCTTCCATGTTCCAAGTATCTTAGGTAATGAGAAAAATCTGCTCTATAACCCCGCTGCCCACGCACTGACGTGATTTATGGCTTTCCCTCCCTTGGATCGTGTCCACCATCACCCTGCCCGCTCCTGGATTCAGAGACTGATCCCCCGTTGCCGCAAACTCTCCCCGCTCTGCCCGTCGTTTCATTCGATCTCATGACTCATACCCTGGCCCAGCTCGGCAATTTACCGTTGAAGCATAGCCCAATCGCTGGTCTTAATCAAGTGATCCACTCGGGCTAGTCTCCGACTCAACTTGTTGATAAGGCAGTTGTCGGACTTTTGCTAGCTCATCTTGATTAAGCTTTACCCCTTCACTCGTCCTCCAGGTCATCACGCAGGCAAGACGAAGGCTGTGCTCCGCCCGCGGGTAACCCGGTGTCTGTCGGTCGAAGGCCGTGACACCTCGCCTGACACCCAGCCCCGTTACAATTACCCCAGGAATTTTACAAGACACTCTTGAAGCTCGATCTGGTCGGATTCACTGCATGCATCCACCCGGAACCACCGCCCGCCTGAATCGGTGCGTGTCGGCACACGAGCTCAACAATGCCGAGACGCCAGCGTAACCAACCAGTCTTGGCTTGCGCGAGATGTTATTCCTTGAAGAAGAAGGTGGCGTGAACTGGGGAATCTGGATCTATGAGCGTGCGATATTGACCTGAATATAGTGCGATAAGAAGCTGCCCTGCTGCTCTCGGTGCAGCTTAGCAGGGAAAGAATGTGTCGGCATCAACCGACACAGCCGCAAAGAGGTCCCACGAAGGTACTTTCACTACTTTGATCTCTTCACTCCGAGGGTATCTGGCTAGAGCTAAGACTATTCGCAGCGTCCTGCAGTATTTGGAAAAGCGACTGGCTGAGATCGAGCGTGACCGTGGACACCACCAAGAACCGGAGCCAGGACCAGAGTCAGACTGCCTGCTAGAAACGTCGATTTCGATTTCGAGACCCGCAAGAGTCTCTGTACATGCTAACAGCCCAATATTGGACGCTATAAGCACGTCTATACGCATCTTGTATACCACGGCTTGCGTGGGCAGTCACCCAGGACTCCTCCATGAATCCAAACTATTTTACCCAACTGAACGGCCCCCTCACAAGGTCCCAGTGCATAGCCTCTACTACGAACATCTTGGAAGACGGGCGGGCCATGGAAACGAGTCGCAATTCTCCGGAGTGGATGCTTTGTCCACCCCCTTCGAAGTGGCGCGGCACATCTTCGACAACTACGTGAACACCATCTTACCACGGTATCCGTGCTTCACCAGCAGCGAGCTGTGGTACCACTTTGGGCAAGTCTACTCAAGACAGCAGCAGGCAGACGATGCCCCGTCCGCACATTTCAGCCGTTTCGTTGTGTCGATGGTGCTGGCAGTCAGCTGTCTGGCCTCGCGGAACGATGATTTCTCCCGGGTCGCTTCAATGAGCGAGTCACTTCACCGCGATGCGATGCGCCACTGGACCTTCCTCAGGCAGTCTAACATAAGATCTCTGCAGGGGCTTCTATTGTTGATACAGCTGGGCTTCCTGTTGCCATATATCAATAATGTCTTCTACTTGAGTGGGGAAGTCGGACGAATGGCCGTCGGACTGGGTCTTCATCAAGAGCCCGATCCTACGCAGGGGCTGAGTTCCCGAGATGTCAGTCTTCGGAGGCAGATATTTTGGATGGTACAGTTCTCAAACCCCTATCGAGAGGCTTCATGTTCTCAGGACTGACGTGTGGAGAGCAAAGGTCTATTTGATCGACAGGACGATTGCAATCTCAACAGGATCCCCCCCGAATGTGAGCGACGAGCACATCACCGTCGGCTTGCCTAGTTGCAGCAATGAAGGGACCCATGCCACCGAAGCCTTTCCATCATATACCGACGGAAGGCTCAGTACAAAACACTTTGTGCTTCAAATCCAGCTATGCCAGCTTCAGTCTGAAATCTACGAGATCAAATTCTTCGGCCGGGCCATCCCAGACCAGTTTTCGAGCTACGACCACTGGGTTGAGAATATTGAGGAGCGCATAAGAAACATGCTGAACCTGTCCATCTCCTCGAATAACGGTGCGATTCCGCAATGGATCACCAACGACGCACACCAGAGTCAGAACTTGCTGCATCGACCGCATCCTGGAAGCATGGTGCCGAGCCAGGCTTCCCTACTGGCCGCGACGACGAGTGCAATCAACCTGATCAACGGCTACTACAAGACTATCCAGACGCAGAGGTTAGCTTGGACCTTTGCGGTGGTAAATAATACATTCCAGGCTGCCATCGTTCTGTTGTACATCTTTGGCAACTATGCATCTATCATCTATGAAGCTTCTCTAGAGGATGAGCTCCTATCTGCACTCGACACCGTGATGGCTATACTAGTGAGTGACTATGCACATACTTTTTACAATGTTCCTTGCATCAAGGCCCTAATTTCTCCTGAACAGAATCTTGGATCCCAGAGGTGGCCAGTAATTGCTTCCACTGCCATGTACGTCAAAGATCTGCGTGCGTTCGTGTTTTCAGATTCACCCAGTTCGACTGGTGAAGCCTATAATCTGAGATACCTTGAGGAACTTGAATTGTTGCTGTCCCAGCGTCGCATCCGCAGTATATATCAGGCACACAGTGAAATTCAGCCTTCTTCCCTCCTTCCCGATATCTTATCACCGCCCCAGGAAGATTCACAACTGCCGTTCTCAGACGATATGTGGCAGGACTTCTTAGGAGCTCAATTCGACCTTGAGGAGGCCTACTCGTTGAACTTCCTCGAACCTCCTTTACTAGCCGAGCAGCAGCAGGTGCCTGTTGCAGGCACTGGGGAGCTCACTACCACGACGCCAACCTCGGTACTTCCCAATGATATCAAGGATGTTATCAATTCCATGCCATCGTGCAGCTTCTGCCGTGATCAACATGTACGGTGCGATCGTGAGCTCCCATGCTGTGGTGCCTGCTCTAGATCGCGCCGGGAGTGTGTTTATCACGATGTTCTGTTGTCCAAGCAGATACCTAGACGGTACGTCGTTCTCACTGCACTCAAAATCAAATTTGTCCTTAACCGAGACTCATATGAGTCCCTTGGCTTCCTAGAGATATCCATTCTTTAATCCAGAAACTAGCCATAGCAAGCCAACCTATTGTGACACGTCAAAAGGTGTCGTCCGCTTCCCCGCCTGTCTCTATGGCTGCCTCGCAGCCCATTCGGGGCAATAACCTCTTAATCCTAGCCTCTGTACCATCCAAGGATGGCCCAGAAACGTCTCGAGGCACGTCCACAAGCTCCAAATGGATAACAAACACGGATCATATCTTCTTCGGAGTCTCGAGTCACCTTGCGTCGATCACCTCCCCTACCCTTCCGCTCACTAACTCACACTCCGAAACATTGGGAAGTGAGCCTAATGCTGGATGGACCAGCGGCTCCCTGATATCGACGGCCCAGATAGCAGGGCCCCCAGATCTCTCGATTGCCACGCGTCTGTTTGCGGTATTCTCAAAATCAGTCCACGTGTGGTACCCCATTATGAACGATGAGTCTCTCCAAAGTCTGCTCTTATGCTGCAGCACCGAAACACTTGATCCTTGTTCAGACCAAAAGCTGGAGTTGTTCTACCTGGTTCTCGCTATAGCCAGTCTACTAACGAAAAGAGCCGAGCCCTTACTGAGCTCAACACCGGCTGCTTACTTCAACAGGGCTATCTCCAATGCTGACACAAACTGCGATCATTCTTCTGGACCCAGTACTTTGCACATGATGCAGAGATCTCTGCTCATATGCATATACTTGCTCTTGAGCCCCGGCAGTGGTGATATTTGGAGGAACCTTGGCTTTGCCATCCGCCTCCACTTTGATATGTCGCATGGTCGTTCCGAAAACATGTACCTTGATGAAGGCCATCACACGATGCTTGCCAGAACATTGTACTGCATCGAGGGGTACGTGCGCACGCCGGCGTTGAAACACTGAGCTGATCACGAAAGCAGAAACGTAACCACCGCATTTGGTCGGCCAACGGTGTTGACAATAGGAGATGAATTACGTTATGTCAGGACAAAGAATCATCATAGGGCGATACCGTCTCGACTAACAAGTCCATAGGAATTAACCTTGCCGGGTGACACCGTGGAAGAGGGTATATCTATACAGTTCTACCGCATCTCGACAATCAAGATGCAACTCCAAAGCCTGCTCTCCGCAGCGACCGTGCAGCATAATCCGGCGAGGCTAAAAGAGAGATGTGAGAATATTCAAAAAGAACTGCTCGAGTGGCATCAATACTGGAAGACAGACTTCGTGCCCGCTATCACGAGCGAGGTGCATGGCTGGGGAGGTGCCGTCCAATATTTGGACGCATGGGGGAGTTTGCAGTACAACGCGAGTATCCTCATGATCTCGAGATTCTCACCAGAAGCAACCGAATCTATTTTCGACACAGCTCGACAGGTTGTGTCTTGCAGCACCATTCTCGTCAGACACAGCCAGCGTTCTTTTTGTGCTATCCCTGACGATGAAACACAGTACAAGGTGCCAGTTTTCCCGACCGATTGGACCATGTCCCATCTTTTATTCGCCACTGCGCTTCACTTGCTCTCTTTCGAGAAGCAGAGTGCGGCGGACCGTACTGCTTGGCAACGAACAGTGCGATCTTGCCTCACAACTCTGGCGTTGATGGAGGCTGACCCAGCCAACTTGTCCATGGGATTCTCTGATATAATAGAAGGGCTGTGCAGCCGCCATGAGGAACATACATAAGAAATATCGTTTTATTGAGACGAAACCTGTATTGCATGTGACGCCTGTGTCTTCCTTTTCGAGTTGTAACAGCCACACAGATCAAATGTTAGAACCTACATGACTCGTCCTAAGCCTCCGCAGCCCGTACTAAGAGAATTTGTAATTACCTGAGCGGAGATATTAGGTATATTATTGCCACAAAGACATATCTTCCATCTATTTACAATTAGTTGTGTAGGCTAATCTATTGCAAGCCAGCCTGGTCTGATTAATGCCTTATCCACAGGCCAGCCCGGAACTCGTTGTAAGTCCGTGCTTGTCAGATAAAGACGAGCCGCCCCGATAGTTGCGGCGGAGATTTGCGAGCTACTTATCCATTGTCGGTCTCTCAGCGATAATCAGCGGCAGCCGGAATCAAGCATCAGCCCTTACAGATAATCGAACGCCCCATAATGAGACGCCGACTTCGATTCACTTCAAGGTCTTTCAAGCCCAAGAGGTACCTGTGTTCTTCCTTTCCCACTGGGTTGAATAGTGTTTCCATGAGCTATGTACAGTTCCATAATCACTGAATCTTTGACTTCATCGGTCAAAATAATGGCGAGATCAATACCTCCGAGATCTCAATCCCGCAACACGTGATACTTTCGAGGACTACCCAGTTCATACAAATGTCTGTCACCGAAAGTTTTAGTCCAATTATTAGTCATTAAGAAGCTATCCTGTGTTCGTCAATGTTGCCTTATGATCGTTATACTACGGGTTGCATTACTTCTTACTATGGCAGCTTAGAATTGTCTGTGTGACCTTTTATGACCTCGTCGATCAAAGCCATGAACTTCCCCAACTTCTCATCCTCAAGTCGCGGTACAACGACTTGAATGCTCAGGGGGGTTCCCAGATACACCTTCCTGTTTACAGTTTTCTCATCCCACAGCTCTCGGCAATAATCGTCCCAGACACCTAGCGACTGGCCGCTGAGTGCCTTTCCCAGCTCAAGATCCTCCTCGACCACCTTTCTGACAGGAATGGTGCCGGCGGGATAGTCAAATAGGACGAAAGAGCTGGTGTAACCGAGGGAATTGAAGCGTTCGATCTCAGGCACAGGATGGGGTGCCACGGCGCAAATGACGGCATCGAGTTTCCTGCTCTTCCTCCCATATTGATCCGTCTCGGACCATATCTGTAACATCTCGAGCTCGAGCTGGGAACGCCAGGCCTGTAGCTGGGCCACTCTTGCGAGCGAGCACGGCTCGCCGACTGTGAATCTTGGCTTCACCCAAGGAACCAATGGTTCTCCGGTAGACTCCAAGAGTTGTCCCATGAGAACTCCCCCGTCAATGGCGATCAGCTCGTTTATGGCACTTTGCGCTTGGGTCCACGCTTTTGGAGTTGGGACCTCAACGACCGTGATATTCGAGTGCTCGTTCAGGCTGGACGCAACTTCAGTAAGGATCCGATCCACGGGTGGCAGAAGGGTGCAGTTGCCATCATTTCGCAGTACACCGATGACAACTTGTCCGTCTGGCCCGGATCCCTGGAGAGGTCGGGAAACGTCCGCGTCCGCCCAATCCCCAAACACACAGTCTTCTCCCCAGAGGCTAGCCCGTGGCACCAATTCTTTCATGGCGAAGTTGATGTCCTCGATGCTCTGCGCCAGTGGACCTGCCACGGGCTGCACGCCTATCCTGGTCATGCCCTCAGCCACCAGAACTGCTTGCCCACCATACGGCAACCTTAGGTTACTCGGTTTGAAACCATAGACCCCATTCACCATGGCTGGGATCCTGATGCTGCCACCAAGATCCGTTCCGATGCCGAGGAGAGAGCCTCTCATGGCCACCATGACACCCTCGCCGCCCGAGCTCCCACCAGCAGTACACAACCGGTTGACGGGATTCATAGTCCTTCCAAAGACATTATTGACGCTGTCGAGACTTGAAAGCGTCTGTGGCACGTTGGTCTTAGCCACCACGACTGCCCCCAACGACAATAGGAGATCCACCAGAGGTGCGTTCTTCTCTGCAGGCTTGAAGCACAAGGATGCCAAACCCGTGGAGCTATCGACTCCCTTGATGTCGAAAGTATCCTTGACACTGACCGGCAAGCCGTGCAAAGGGCCCAGAGGCATCCCGTGCTCCTCCATGTACCGGTCCAGAAACCGCGCTCGCTCTGCCGCTTGCGCAAACAAAGGCTCAGTCAAGCAGTTTGTCAACTGATGCGCCACTGCCGCACGGTGGCAAAAGGCGCTTATCACGGTCTCAGCGAGGAACTTTTTGCCTGCTATGGCCGCGACCAGCGTGGAGATGTTGTAGTTCTCTGTGATCTCGATCTCCTCCGCCGACAGTACCGCAGCTGGGACATGTAGCACTGGTTGAGGGCCGTCCTCGAAGCATGGAGGGTCCTTGGGCAGGTGAGCGAGAGGGATGCGCCATTGCGATGGGATGCATGCGTCTCGATCAACTTGCTTCCGACGAGCAATGGCCTGCCAGGGTGCTTCTGAAGAGGTGCTCTCCATCTTAGCAGATGCGTATATGTCGGGGCGTCTATTGTCTCGTAGTTGGTCCAATGTTATGGATTATAGCATCAGGGTAATAAGACAGATCGAGTTGTTATCGTCCAGAAGACTACCAAGTACTTGTTTGGCGAGACCTACTTCGTCGTCGTCAAGCACCAATGTCCGACAATGTGTTCAAGAGGCGGCCGAAGGGTACAAGGATGGCTTTGCTAGTGTTGGTCGGGAACAGGCCTAAACGATATTCATTCTTCGTCCCCACCTTCTGGTTGGCCTCTTAGTCTAAGATCGCCAAAGTCCGACACTCGCAAGTCTCCGACACTCGCAAAGTTCCGACGCTTGATATCTCTCCGCGTCGCCCGTAGCCGTTGAGAATGCCTCTACCCTTGTTCTTATCGTGCGCCGATTTCCCCAGGCGGCCTTGCAATGTAATCCGGGGTCATGCAAAGACTAATCATAGACCGCATATATCTTCAAGGGATCGTAACCCCATCCAGTTGCTCCAGATTTCCTCGAGCGAGCCAGGATCACTCTTGGTAAAATCCACTGTTTCCTCCAATCGTGAGCAAACATGGCCGAACTCAACACTAAAGAGCACGTCGATGCAACAACCAAAGATTACAAGAAAGAAGGTCAGGCTGTCGAAGACTTTGAAAAGCACAGCGGTCCTCCAGACAACAATCTTGTTTACGACAACGCCGATGAAGAACCTGTTGTGCACCTACGAACATGGATTGCGTTGGCCTCGATGTTCTTGATGAACTTCGTCCAGACGCTGGCACTTCAAGGCCCCCCTTCTGTTGTAAGCACGCGCCCCTCCCCCTTTTTGTCTTCGATGACAAGATCCCACAGTCGATTGAATATGATTTGACAAGAGGAAAACATTAGCTCTCCATCATCGGCACCTCGCTCAACAACACCCAGGCCCAGACCTGGGTCCCCGGCGCCCTTACCCTCATGCAAGCCGTCATCTCTCCGCTCGTCTCTTCCATATCGGACACGTTCCAGGCGCGCAAGCTGCTCCTCGTCGGAGCTTCTGTCGTTTCCTTTGTCGGCGCGGCGATTGCGCCCGGTTCGACTAATATTTACCGGCTGATTGGGGCTACCATACTCATCGGTGTTGGCTTCTCGACCGTCGGTTTAGCCTTTGCCGTCCCGAGTGAGATCCTGCCACGGAAATGGCGGCCAAGTACGTCAAAACCCCTGCCTTGACCCTTCTATGTCCACGAACAATCTCGAAACTGACTGTCCGATCACAGTGTCTCAAGCGGTCATGAATATCGCCGCTTGTCTTGGCGCGGTGGTTGGCCCACTGGTCATCGGTGCTTTCGCAAAAGCAGATGTAAAGGACGGCTGGAAGAATTTCTATGTAAGACTGCCCAAATTCTTGTAAACCCTTTCAGGAGCAGCAAGCTGAATGTCAACAGTGGGTACAAATGGCCCTCTGGGGCATGACAGCCATCGGGATCTTCTTTGGCTATCGCCCCCCAAAGAGACATACCCAGCTCGATCACCTGTCCTTCTGGCAGAAGCTCGCCCACCTAGACCTACCGGGATTTGGTCTGCTCACAGCCGGCATCACCCTGTTCCTTGTCGCGCTCAACCTCGGAGGGGGGCTCTTCTCGTGGACCAACGCCCGTGTCCTGGCTTTGCTGGTCATCGGGCTGGTAACACTGGTTGGCTTCGGAGTCTATGAGTGGAAAGGCACGAAGACAGGTATCCTACATCATGAGCTGTTCCGAGGAGGCAAGGCCGGTGGCCGCACCTTTGCAATTTGCATTGTACTCATGATGATTGAGGGTATCATGCTGTTCTCTTATGTTATCTTTTATCCGGTCATGTAAGTACAAGGACAATAAGCTCCCCGTCATCCATTATCTCCTCGGATGGAAAGCAGACTGACAGGGCAAAACAGGACTGCCATATTATTCGAACAGGATCCATTCCTTCTTACCGTCCGTGGACTGCCGTTCTGGGTTGTCTCGGGTCTGTCCACCGTTGGTTGGGGTTACTGGAGCATGCGGTTCCGAACCATCCGCAGTCCGCTGTTCGCAGGTTTCTTGATTTTCACAGCTGGGCTTGTTGGCTTCGCCACCATCCGGCCCGGAGATGATCTCAACTGTCTCGTATTCGCTGGCCTCGCCGGCCTCGGCTTCGGCGCCCCCCTCGTCCTCGTCGTGACGGGCGTCCAGCTCTCTACACCCCACCACCTGATTGCCACCGCTACGGCCGTCACGACTTCCGCCCGCGCGGTGGGTGCAACCGTCTTCACAAGCGTCTTCAGCGCGGCATACGGCTCCGAAATCCAGGTCAAGCTCTATGCTAAGATAGCCGAAGCCGCGATCAAGATGGGCTTGGCGGCCGACGATGTCCCGGCCTTCGTCAGCACTTTCACGGCCCAGGACAGCGGAGCACTATCCGCTATTCCGGGAGTCAACTCTACTATTCTTGAGGCGGCAGCATCGGCAATGAGCCAGGCGTACGCGGAGTCGCTGCATGTTGTCTACTATATTGCAATCGCCTTCGGTGCCGCTGCGTGTCTTGCGTGCTTCTTCTTGGGTGATCTGCAACACACTATGAACTACGTTGTCGATGCGCCTGTTGAAAGCCTGACGGCTAAGAGACACGCAACTGAGAAATAGGTACTACACCTTGTACCACATAGGCACAGATTGCTCATCGCTTAGGGCTTAGCCAGGCCAGGGACCTGGCTTGTAATTGTGAGCTTTAGGTGTAAAGACTGCGACGCAACTTAGTTATATCTCTTACTTCTACATACCTATCTTTAATATCATAACCGTACCTCTTTTATGGACATTTTATCACAATAATTACCTAAGAAGGCCCACTACCATTCAATATAAATCTACTGCGCAGAGCGGTGGTGTGCTAATCCAGTTGGGGATCAGATCAGACAACGTGACAGTAATTAAAGTTGTTTGCAAGGTTTCTTTCCAATCAATGCATGATTTCCGTGCGGGGAAGGTAGCAAATAACCTAAAAGATTCATTGCCGACATCACTTGCAGGTCGGTGGTGGACGAAACAGGAAGGCCAGTTGGGAACATCCAATCGTCGTCCAGCACGGCGAGCGTGGTGCCAACCAGCATTGCTGGCGCTCGACTCTTTCTATTGAGCCAAGCAGCGACTGGTCTGGAAAAGGAGGGTCTCATTGGGGTGACGCGGATCATTTCCTTCAATAATATCTATAAGACTCCCACCTCCACCGTAGGCATCCTCGCTTTCTGGATGGCACATCCGTCATTAGATCAGACAATTGCCAGTCACCATGCGTTATTATACTAGCTCCGTGATTACCTTGGCCTGGTGTCTCGCTGGGTTTGCCCTCGCCCAATCTTCCGGATCCTTCAGCCTCTTGACATTCAACGTCGCCGGTCTCCCGGACTGGCTGAGTGACAACGGCGTTCCCGGGGACAAGGCCACCAACGCTGGCACCATTGGCAGTCTCTTTGCCGAGACGGGATACGATATCATCCACATACAGGAAGACTTCGGCTACAACTCCGAGATTTATGCCAAGGACGACCATCCCTACCGGACGGTGACTTCGGGCAATGTTCTCGCAGGGTCCGGGCTGAATACGCTCTCCAACTTTCAGTGGACTGGTCTGGACCGCGTCACCTGGAAGTTTTGCTGGGTCAATGAGGCCGATTGCCTCACGCCCAAGGGATTTACCTTTATGCGCATCAATGTTGGCGGGGCCGAGATTGACCTCTACAACGCCCATGCCGACGCAGGGTGAGTTTCTTCAATTTACCATTCCTGAAACGAGATTCTTGCTTACGAGGAACAGCGATGACTGGGGAGACAAGTTGGCCCGGAGCCTGGGCGTTGACCAGCTCCTCGCTTATATCAACAGCAACTCCGCCGAGCGAGCCGTGATCATTGCGGGTGACTTGAATGATCGCTGGTATACCTCGGACTTGAGCATTAACAAATACGTCTCGGCTGGGTTCAGCGATGTCTGGGCAACCGTTGTGAAGGGCGGCGTTTACCCTACCCCTGGTTCTGCCGCCAACTACTGCTCAAATCCTGCACCTAATAACAACTGCGAAGTCGTCGATAAGATACTGTAAGTCTGAGCATCCCACCTTCGCTGATGAAACCATATGTCTTTCGGGATTTAACGTGATGCCTTTTTAGGTTTCGGCCGGGTGACTCGGTCAAGTTGACTGCGACCTCTTTCAACTATAAGTCCGACGTGTTTAAGCAGCCAGATGGAAATATTGTCTCGGATCACAACCCCGTGCTGGCTGAATTCAGTTGGTCTGTGTAGCCAGGTGATATCGAGGTAGAGTGAAGAAATAGCATCGAAGAAATAGCATTGAAGCTCTGCTTTATTACAAATTCCCTCAACCCTGTCAGTCTGAGCCCAATGATCCATATCAGTAGTGTCATGTGCCAGCGGTCAATGATACGACGATAGATGCGCATTCCGACCTGCCATTACTTTTTCATGCCCAGGGCCTAGGCCACGGAGGCTCAGACATCGGCGGAGCAAGCTCTTCTACTTGGCCGGGTGGAGCTACAGATATGATGGCAAAGCTATGATGCCTGTCACACTTGCTTCGATTTTAATTCCAGAAAGTAGGAGCTAACCGCTAAACCAATAGAATGCATGAATTAATAATTAAATGCCCAAGAGACAAATGAACATGCTTCCGGGATGAGGCTGTGAAGAGCCCTAAATTCCTTGGCGGTGGGGATGTTGTTGCGTATAGCGTATTGCGTATTACGCTTCAGTCTGCGATGATCCCGCGCCTCGCCATTGGGCCTATTCCCTGAGGCGCAGAAGACAGGCTTGGAGTAATCTTACACTGTCATAATGGTGGCTCTTTCTAATATGGATGAGTATATAATATGTAGAGGTGTTGGAGCTCCGGACTTTTGGTATCATACATTCTGCTTATCATCAATACAACCACAATAGCCTCGTTAAAATCATGCAGCTCTCACTCCTCGCCAGTACCATCCTATACACAGCGGCTACCGCTTGGCCGCATTATTCAGAGCCAAAAGGCCATGAGTATCAGGCTCCTAAAGGCGACGATCGTGGGTGATTTAGTTCCACTTCAGCCATCCAGTATTTACTGACAAATTTGCCTCAGGCCGATCCCCATGCCCAGGTTTGAACGTGATGGCGAACCACGGATTCCTCCCTCGATCCGGGAAAGACATCACCCTCGAACACATTCGCTACGCAACCGGTGCAGCTTTCAACTTTGCCCCCGGCGTCTTCGATTCTGCCGTGACGGATGTTTTGGGAAACGGCATCTCTACAACAAGCACCCCCAACTCCACATTCAACCTGGATGATCTGGTCTCGCCCAAGGCACACGGCATTGTCGAGGTCGACGGCTCGCTTTCCCGTAGCGACCTGGCTCTCGGCGATAACCTCCACTACAACCAAGAAATCTGGGACGCTGTGGCCGAGAACCTCGGGCTCAACCGCTGCAAGGACGAAAAGGTCGTGACTGTCGAGACCGCGGCGAAAGCACACGCCGCTCGGCAGGTTGTGGCAAAGGCGGCGAACAAGGACTTCGATGCCTCCGAGCTCCAGTCCACGGTCACACTCGGCACGACAGCCTTGTATCTTCTTACTCTGTGGGACGGTGCGAGGAACGGTGCCCCCAAGACATGGGTCAAGACGTTTTTCGGTAGGTCTCCTGGCTCACAGCATCTATATCCGATTTGTGCTTCATTGGTGGGTTTTTTTACTGACATGTTGGCAGAGCATGAGCGCATCCCGTACAAGGAAGGGTTCCAGAAGCCTGCAAAGGCCAAGACAGGCGAGGATCTTGGGAACATGTTTCAGGCCGTCAGCGCGGTGAAGGCCTAATTTCTGGGGGGGAAGTTTGTGATTGCGCACAATAACCCTATTTCATCATATCTAGCGACATTTCTTTCAGCATTTCAGTAATAAACTTCTTATAGCTGATATTCTGCCAATTTATTTGGAAATTTGAACCGGTACATTCGTTTCAATATAAGCACATGATGAGCCGAGTCCGAGGCCGGGGGACAAAACCGGGCGTGTTGCTAGCTTCAGGTATTCGCGATGCTCTCATAATAGTCCAGCTTCCGCAGTAAAACCCCAATGTGATGATGGACCGTTTCGGCAAACGCCACAAAGCGAACCTTTTCCTGGCGTTGCCATCGCGAAGTGGGATTTTTAGCAGAGAGGTACGACTGGACGCGGGCAAGATATCCGCCACGCGCCGAGCCGGCTGTAGGTGCGGAGGAGGGAGCCAGCTCGTAGTGCTGTGCCAGGTTTGCGACGGTCTCTTCGAAGATGCTCACGATGGATTCAAGAATTCCCTGGGTACTCTCGTGGAAATCGCGGTCCAGGAGATAACCATTCGAACTGGAGGACAGCTGGGCCTTCTTGGGCCCGTCGAGCCCTATGCCATGGCCCCATTGCTCGAGCCGCCGGTGCTCTGTCGAGATGCGCGCCTGGAGGGCCTTTTGATCGTGATTGTTCAGGGACCATTCATGGCCGACCGACCTCAGGATATCCTTGCACCGCTCGTAGATAGAGACAAGCGCGACGAGTGGCGAGTTGGGATCCGCGGGTTGGCTGGTTGCCATTTGATGTTTGTTTTGCGAATCAGAGTTGAAGCCTCTCAGGCCTCTGCAGGATGATGTTTTAGTGGCGTCAGGGTGGTCAATTGCTTCTTTGGAGGATCTTCAGCGACGGATCCCGCTACAAGCGCTGTATTTCCAGTGATTCGTCATCTTGAGTCCGCTGAACGAGGTTATCTTATCATGAAGCCTGTACCTCAGGAATATGGTCTGAACCATCATCACGTACAGCTCGCTATTTAAATTGATTCATTGATGTGATACAGTTCCAGCCTCGATATTCATCACACGGGAGAAAATCTAAGATCTCAAACATTCAACCCTCTAGCGCTCGATCAAGATTCTTCGTCTCCCTCATCATCACCAGCACCAATCTCAATGTGCAACAAATCCGGTGATAATAGATGATAATAGGTAGGTAGCCTCGATTCAGAATTCCGTCGATATCATACAGTCGCAAACTTTGTATTTTTTTGCCTCATTTGTCAATGAATCATCGTCTCTTCATAATTGATTCCGATCCCAAAACTCGAACGATCGCGGCGTCAGACGTCAGGAAGAAGAGCGACCGATCTGGAAATCATTTTCGGAAGATATATGAAGCACGATGCTCAAGCCTAATCGCAACATTTTTTAGGTTAAAAAAACTTTTGCAACTTATCCAGCCCCTTCTTCACGGGACCAGGCGCCTTACTAGCAAATTCGTCAATCTTCTGCCTCGCCGTAGATCTCCTCGAGAGCGTCCCCTGAGCAGGATCAACGGCAGCACCTCCCCTCCAGAAAGGATTGCCGGGTGCCTTGGAGCAGCAGATTGGCTGTGCGTCCGACGCAAAGTGCTCGGGTCCCATCACCATCACCCGCGCCTTGCGGTTCGCAAAGCCCTCGCCCCAGTTGTCCGTCGCGTGGTAGATGCAGAAGACCTTGTCGTCCCCCGGCTCGGGACTGAGCAGGAAGCTGGCGTGGCCGGGCGCGTACGGTCCAGGCATCGACTTGTCGTTCATCAGCAGCGGCACCGGCCTCTTCTCCCACGACTTTGGATCCAGGGGATCGGCGTTCGGCGCGACCAGTCGCAGCAACCCCAGCTTGTACTCGCTTGTGAAGCTGGCGTGTCCAGAAAACACGATTCCCGTGAATGCGCCGTTGGGCAGATTGAGCCACGTCGGACCCTCGTTGATCCCGCGCCTCCCGCCGTCAAACCGCTCCCAGGGCAGGTCGGCGCATGCGATACACGCAGGCGGGAGGATCGACGAGTCCACGACCTCCTCCGGCGAGACCATCTGGGTCAGGTAGAGGTCCTGCTTGGTGTCCGAGTTGTCGCCGACCGGCCACCCGGACCAGCAGATGTACAGGTCCTCGCCGTTGGGGCTGAAGACGGTCGCGTCGATGCTGAACGCCTCGGGCATGCCCTTGAGCGGGCCGAGGAACTCCCACGACTCCTCCTCCATGGGATCCTGGCGCGCCGACCGCAGGACGATGGTGCGGTGGCCCGGGTTGCCCACGCCGGGCTGCGAGGCCGTGGCGTAGATGTACCAGACGCCCTTGATCAGGTGCAGCTCGGGCGCCCAGATGTCGGCGGCCCAGCGCGAGCCCGGCTCGGGCTGCCAGACGAGGGCCTTGCGGGCGTTGAAGAAGTCCTCCATCAGCGGCGACTCCCATATCTCGATGCGGTTGGCCAGGGTGAAGGTGAGGTAGTAGACGCCATTGGCCTGGACCATCCAGGGATCCGGGGTGTCGATGTGCGCGATGACCTTGTTTGACATTTTTGGCGATGCGACGGCGGGAACGTTGGTATGTGATATCAGTCTCTCCGCGATTGACTCTACTCCGACCGTTGGAACCCCGCGATGAAATAAAGAAGGAAGGGGAGCTGCAGCTAGCTTATTCAGATGGGGTCGGGACCGTCGGGTGGTGGTGTCAGGTGGTTCATAATAATGAGGGGTTAACTAGGGGTTCATCATTATGCGGATCGTCCGTGTTTGGAATGTCTGGGAACGGTACGGAGATGTCACCGCGACGCGTGTTGCACTGTATGAATCAATCCATGATTTGGGCTGAGCCTCGAAATACGTGTCAAATCATGAGCCATTGATGGGAAAGTGCCGCACAGTCACAGGCTGCCCCGTAAATTGCCCACATCACTACACTCAGTGACGAGTCATGTCTAATCCTTACAGCCTTTCACTGTGTGAGAATATGTTATACTGAAGATGCACTGAAGGTTACAGAGAAGATGCAAAATGAATATGAAAAGGAGATCTTGGTCTCAATTTGGTCATCTATAAAAATGCTGCGGCATCTAGTGCCATCTCAGAAGGATAAATATATACATATGCAGCTTTGAAAAAGAAGAAAAAGGTCATGAAGAAATGAAATGAAAAGAGAAAAGAGAAGAAAAAAATGAAGAAGAAAAAAGAAAAGAAAAAGAAAAAGAAGACGTAAATCATTGGATCAATCCCGTGTCCAAATCGAAGTAGAGAAAAGAAAGAAATCGTATGAGAATTGGCCTTTAAAAGGCAACAATATCCTCAGACTCGGAGGCATGGCTGTACTCTTTACTTTGCCGCCACTCCTCTTGAAGATCATCGCTATACTGGAAAGCGATGCGATAGATGAGACATAGGCAAGCCACCATTGTCCCATTGATAAATATTGTGTTTGGAACCAGTCGGAAGGTCCTGGAGCCCATGCTAAGGATATCGATTGGGCCCTCGGTCGGTTCGACAAACTGGCAAACGGTTTCGTAGAGATGACGAATGAAGCTGAGGCAGTGGACAGCCGTCATCAGTCGAGAAGCCTATTTCAAAACGAGTTAGTTTCGCTACCCCCAAAACATATCAGGGAAGAGGAGCATACATGAGTGGCGCGTGCTGGCCTGGTGTTAACCCAGTAGACCAAGCCGCCTCCAGCTGCCATCAAGAGAAGGCTGCTGATCAGCCATGTCGGCAGCACGGCGTAGATCGACCCCTCGGCAATCATGAAGCTCAGATGAGGGAAGTCGGTTGACCATGATCTTCGAGCAAGCAGCTCAACGATGACGAAGCGCATCACGATCAAGCTGCCCATGGCCAGGCAAAATGCCCAAGCAAGGCATCGCCTCATCTTGTTGTTGCTGGCCTGGTTCGTCTTGAATCCCCAGGCAAGAACAAGCTGGGAGAAGAGAACGGTGGAATAGCTAAAGCCCGATAATAGTTCGCTCAAAGCCATGAGATGCCCCGTGAATGCGAGGTGGAACATGGAGACGAAGGGCCGCATCTCCGAAAGGGGGACCAGAACCCAAAGAGCCTGCCATCTGGGCAATGTTAGTAGTCGAGACTCATCATGTAGGAAAGGCATTGCTCACAGTATCACTAGTGCTGCTGACACCTTGAGCCACCACACGCCAGCGCGGATTCCATATGGCTTGTAGTAAAGTCTTCGGCTGGCAAGCACAGCAATGTAGATGGAAATGCCCAGAAAAATAAACACCAATCCAGTGGCGATTCTGAGCCAGGGATATTCCATTGTCCTGTGGAGATTCCCGGTGAAAGAAGAGAGAGAAAAGAAATGGATGAAAATGACAGAGCTACGCGGGAGGAACACAACACAACACAAAAGAGAAAACGAAAAGAAAAAGGCGAAAAAGAAAAGTGGAAAATGGCTGGAGAAGAGAAGAAGTGGCAAATTCAACAGGTGAGATGCATGGCCTGCCATCTTATATATCCCAAGGTGTTTTGAGCGTGAGGGAAAGGCCAGGAACCGACTCCGGGTGCGCTGACGAGCGCAGGTTCCTTTGGTTTGCGGTATCAGCAGGGGTCTGGCGATCCGGCTATTTTTGTAGCGATGGTGATTGGCCTCCTGGCTCCCCAAGTCCCGATCCTGCACCCGCGACTCCGACCGAGACAGGACGATGATCCACTGAGTCAGCTTGGTCGTCAAGAATCAATATTTAATAAGCCGGAATACCACCAGCCACAGCATATTGACTCTACCCGTCCAGGAAGAACCCCTCGTGAACGAGCGGCACAAACCAGTGCAAAAGAGGGGATATAACAATTAAATGACTCAATCGACGAGTCACAGTGTGCAAACGATCTCTTCAGCACCAAAAAAAATGAAGGACACATGGCGATTCCACCGTGTCGTGTCAAGTTCATTGATATGAGGACTCCCGGTTTCCGAAAATGCCATTATCTGCGGGATTTCACTCAGGTTGGCGTGCACTGAGGCCCATGGCAGTTCAACCACTGTCGAAGGCCTGATTAATTACGGTCAGCCACATCGTGCTTCTGACAAGGACCTTATTAATAGCTCGCCCCTTGTCAACCCCCCATTACCCTCCATTACTTCAACTTACCCTATATCCAATATCATGTGCACATCAGGTGATTGAAATCCATTTTCTCATCATCTTTATCATAGTATGACCATTTGCGGTATGTTGTGTGCGTGTAGAGATGGTTTGGATTATTTGATATGTGGTGTTGAGATCCCGTTGCTTCATTCGGGGAACATATATTGGTTAGCCTTGGTAACTCCAGCTTTCAACACCAAATTCCATCTGATGGTAAGGCAAATCAGCGTTCAAATTCTTGTCGCTCCCATGTCAAAAACTGGGCGATACTGGATACTCATTCAGCTCATGTGAAACCATCAAGTTGCGAGGAGAAATGTTGACGTTGTCAAGATAACATTCTGGGTATAGGGTAATTCTCACTACCCACTGGAATGTGGCGCATCCGTGATGATCTGGTTTCTGGAGTCTATGATGTATTGGCTAGGCTTGCTTTCTCAATCTGCACCAAAAGATTGCAATATTGTTAATATTCGTGCAGATATGGTTGAGGAGAAATAAAAAGTTGACAAAAATGGAAAAAGAAAATCTCGAAGAGCGGAGTCGAACCGCTGACATCCAGATATGCTTTCATGCGATTACAGTCTGGCGCCATAAACCAACTAGACGACTTCGAGGTCTTTGATTGCTGTGTGGCGTCACAATAGCTGGTTATAATGGGTTGACACAATCCTCT